TGTACGTGTGGCTAGTTGTACTCTCACAATATGTAATCATTTACTCACTATCAATACCAATAAAAAGTTCGGCCGATACCATGTTGTATCGGTAAAAAAAAAAAAAAAAAAAAAAAAAAAGAATATTAGAAAAACTTAGAACTGATCTGAAAAAGTAAATTATGTTGAGCTAGTTCAAAATAATAAAATAAAAATAGAGAAGTATATATTATTGAAAACAAATCTGTATTTAAAAACATTTTGAAATTTTTAGCAAAATCTGATTAGAATAATAAATTAAGAAAAAAAAAAGTAACAAGAATACAACAACTTATAGAAAATAAAAAGATACAAGAAATAGAAAGAGATGATCTAGTAATTGAAATTTCTAATACAACAAATAAATTTAAATAAAAAAAAAGTCTATTGGTTATTAATTTCCTTAGGCTATACAATATTACTAAAGATATTCTGGCTTTGTTAACTAATGCTACTGTAGAGCAGATACTTCAGTATTCAAATCAAAGAAGTAACCTAGCAAAAATCTTAAAATAACCCTTACCTTCTCATGAAACTAATTTTATCAATTTTAAAAAAAAACAGTAAACAATAGCAATAAAATATTATAAATAATCTAATATTAGCTATTTTAGACTCAGAAGCTATCATAAGTATTATATTAAAAAAACTTCTAGATAAAATTAGATTGAATATAGATAAAGAATCAACTACAATAGTAATAATAGCAACTAAAACTAAAACTAAAATATTAGACAAAGTAAGAATTGTAAAAATAGCTATACAAAATATTGTTATACCTATCTTTCTACAAGTTATAGAATCTTCAGAGAAAAAACATTATTTTTAGAAACTAATTAGTTCTAGAAAACAAATATCTAAATCTACTTTGATGAATAGAAACTTTATTTATAATATCTAAATAAATTAGTAAAAATTCTAATATTCAATTCAGATATCAAAAATCTTTTACTTTATTATGAAGTAGATTATAAGAGTAAAGAGGGAGATACTTTTAATAAATTTAATTATAAAGAAGATGAAGGATCAAATAAGGTAGAAGGATATTATATTGAATATGAAAAAAACTCTACCTTATATCTTACTAATATTGAAGAAATATCTACTAAAGATGAAGATAATAAAGAAGAATCTATAGAAAAAAGGATACAAAAAATAGTTAGTAATAATGAACTAAATATAAATTTTTTGACTAATGAAAAAGATATATTTGCTCAAAATTTTAGAAATTTAAAGCACATTAATATTATAACACATACTATTAACATAGCAGATACAATTCTTATTAAATAAGATTTATATAGAATAGCACTAGATAAGAATAATTTTGTAAAAGAAGAAATCCAAAAATGATTAAAAAGAGACTAATTAGAGATGCATTTGTCCTTAAACATTTCTAGTAGTTATTGTACTGAAGAAAAGTAGAAAACTACAATTCTGTGTAGATTACTAGAAGTCAAACATTGTTACTAAGAAAGATTTATATTTACTTTTATATATTAATAATCTATTAGATATTTTTAAAAGCATTAAATAGTTCTCTATCTTAGATCTAATAAGTAGTTACTAGCAAATTAGAATACAAGAAAAAGACAAGGAAAAAACTATATTTATTATGAAATATAATACTTTTGAATTTAATATAATACTGTTTAGGCTTTGTAATACTCCAGTATATTCTAAAAGTTAATAGATAATATCTTATAAAAATGTTTTAGATAATATGCTATTGTATATTTAGATGATATAAATATAGGGTTCTATTTTTTATACCCTCCAAATTTATTAACCATACCCCCTTGTGAAATTGCAATTTTTTGCAACTTTGAATAAAAATATCTCAGTACTTATCCAAACAAATTCAATAAATTTTTTTTATTTTAATTCTACAGATATGTAGATTTCAAATAAAAAAAAATTCATCGAATTTGGTTAGGTAGTTGTCGAGATACATTTGATCAAAGTCAGTAAACAGTTCAAAATATCTATCAAAATTGAAGTAATTTAAAGTTTT